GTATATTGATCAATCGATGGCACCGATCTGGAACTAGCACGGTGCTGGCACGGGCAACTACGGACGCAGCTTAGGTCCTGCGTGTCAGCTTCTTCTTGGGCAAGACCAAAACTACGTACCATGAGCGGGCAAATGGTTTTCGCTCAAAAAAATTATACTTTTAGGTCTCAAACGTAGCAGCGCGTTTGTCCAAAGATACGAAGCCTAACAAGCCTGCCATTTTGCTAAATTGTCACTATGATAGTTGGCCTACGAGTAGCGGTACGCTTTTACTTCCCTTTTCTCCTTTTCTTTTTTCTCTTTCACAACACCTGTAATTCAGGCGGCTCGGATGATCTAATATCTTGTGCGTTGATGATGGAGATCATTCGTCTGCTTGCTCATCAACCGGAAAGTCTCAGATATGATGTGATATTTTTGTTCAATGGAGCTGAAGAGTCAAGTTTGCAGGTGAGGCCTTGTTCTCGACACGTTTTTCTATTTTTTATTTCCTTCATTTTTTTCGTACCGAAAAGGCAATTCTTTAGGGGGCTCATGGTTTTATTACCCAACACCAGTGGCGACATGTAGTGCGCGCTTTCATTAATTTGGAAGCCAGTGGAAGTGGTGGGAGAGAACTACTCTTCCAAGCTGGTAAGTTGCCCTTCACCTTCTTCCAATTTTTCATCGTAGAGAAAATAATCCTAGGTCCTGCAAATCAATGGCTGCTGAACTCGTACCTAGCTGCAGCTGTACATCCACATTGCTCAATCATAGGTCAAGAAATTTTCCAAAGTGGTCTTTTCCCGGGAGATACAGATTTTCGCGTTTTTCGAGATCACGGCCGAGTTCCCGGTAGGTTGAAACGTGTTACTATTATCCGAGAAGTATATTTATTTTTTAGGACTGGATCTGGCATTTGTGCAAAATGGCTATTGGTGGCATACAGAGTTTGACGAAGCTAGGAGAATTACTCCGGGTTCACTCCAGAGAGCAGGTAAGTTGAACTTATTATCGGAAAATTATTCTCATAATTAGTAAAATTGGCTACTCAATTTCTATCGGTCACAAATGGAACTTCATAAGTTTT